TCACATTCACACCGACACATTTTTGTGGTGCTGGTTCCAGTTCGTTTGGGTTTTCACTCGAATTAGAATGTGTCCTTCAACACCACAGATCAATCAAAAGCTGGCTGTAACGAGAACTTGAAAAGAAAAAAAAATGCTTTTAATTCCACACTGAATGCAAGCAACACATTTTTGTGGTGCTGGTTCCAGCTCGTTTGGGTTTTCACTCGAATTAGAATTTGTCCTTCAACACCGCAGATCAATCAAAAGCTGGCTGTAACGAGAAGTTGAAAAGAAAAAAAATGCTTTTAATTCCACACTGAATGCAAGCCCTCAAACATGTACGGACCACATTAACAACCTTTTTTCTTTTTTTTTTTAATTTATTATGGAACCCACCAAATGCAATATCCGCTTTCGTTTCAGCAGCAATGAAGAATTAAAGATATTTGCACCATGGAGGAGACTCAATCACAAGTGATTGATATTAGGGTCCACACGCAAGTACAGGGTTTGACTGACAGGCACTGATGGCCCACTGCCAAGAAGACAAATGAAGTGCTCAATCTATAAGAGTGAAGCCATTACCCGTTTGGATGTTGTTTATTTTTACCCTCTCCTCATCTCCGAACCCTATTACGCGCGTGGATCACTCGTCACGGAGAACGTTCAGTTTGGCGAGTCCAGAAAAAAAAAAAAAAAATGGAGTGCGCTTTTACTCAGTCACATCGCGCTCCCCTCCATACTGCTTTTTTATGATGTTTACATGACTTGATGGCCAAGCAGACAACTTCTGCTCTTATTTTGTCGGATCTCATGACCTGATGGGCCAAATTACATTTCAAATTGTATGTGCACTGAAAAAAATGTGTTTGATTTATTCAAATTAACGACAAATGGTTGCACACAATAACATTATTTGGATGCATCTTTTAAGTCGATGCAAAGTCTACTTAAAAAGACAGCTTGCTAGCTAAATAGCTAGCTAGATAGCTAGATACATACATACAAGGCACTTTTGGCTGAATGCTAGACACACTGATACTTACATAAATATACGATATGTCTAGCGGCCAGACAATGTTTAAACTGTTCCGCCATAAAGAACAAGATGGCCGCTTTTTCAACAAGATTACCAGAAGGTAATTAAACGGACTCTTTAAGGCAATTATGTTTGGATTCCTTATCTGCAAATGAACAGATGGAAAGGTCGCTCCTGTGTGCTTAATATCAATATTGAAACTGCCGTTAGTGTCCCATAAACAGACCAACATCGCGCTGCCCGCGCTGTTTTGGAAGGACAACGCCATGTTGCGTCTTCGCCGGGTATGTGTCACTGCGCGTGAATGTGTGAGCATGCCAAGCAGCCTGGCATACCACATTAGGTGACTAATGAGGCAGACACATAATACAGCACAATCACAATCGGAGGTGTCATGATCAATTATTTGGGTGTCATTAATAAAGAGGAATGCACATGCTAACCCAGAAACAAGGCGCTTTGTGTGGAGACAGATGACCGCGACATTGATGACACGGACGCTGCTTGCTCAAAGTGTTGCATCCCACTGCAGACAAAAGCAGGGGGTACATATTAAGAACCCGGCAACATTTGAGTTGTAAACCGCATGATATGTTTTTGAAACATCTCCTCTTCTGAGCAAAACAACCAAACGAAACATCATGTGTGGGCAAATGCTGGCAGCATTCATGGTGATTGTGTGTTAGGTGCACTTAGCTGTACCTGGAGGTGGAATGATCCGTGGCAGGTAACAGAGAGTGCCAGCCCCCCCCGGGAGGTTGCTTGTCTAAGTACTTTGCTTAACTACTGCTGCTAGGCAATCACGAGTCACTCCAATCATACAGTGCGAAATGCTCCAGTGGGATCTCTGTGTTAACACCACATTCTCCATTCACTACATAGGATGACAAAAAAGAAAAAAATATTGATTTTTTTTTTCAAATTATAGACGGTGTTCCTGGGTAACTAATCGGGCTGCATTTCTGCAAAGCAACAATCCATTTGTTAAACCGTGGGCATCGGGAACATGTCATTCATTTTGTGGAAGCTTTCCTTTCCTAAATCGCTCAAGTCTGTGATTTGAAAGTATCTTCATGTCAAAGTCTGAGCATCAAATGTTCCGATATATTATTATTTGCATATCGGGATGCCGACTTCTTGTCTGCACTCATAAAAATGTCACACCTGATTGCTCGGACCTGGGAAAGCAATTTCCTTTTCAATTCCACTTGAATGGACTGGTAATGCACAGGAAATAACAAAGCTAAGGAACACCCAAGCTGGAGCGAGATAATTCACGGCAGTTCTTCTGACACAATCACGATGAAAAAGCAAAAAATTTAACAACATTCGATAGACCGAATACATATTCGCTACTGTGTTTAATTTTTCTCATCCTACGTACCGCCTTTAAATTGACTGAATCATTATTCCCTTGCTGTCGCAGTCAACGGCTACAGTTTTTATACTTAGAAATTCAATGCAAAACTATATAAAGCAAAGTGCAGGGGATCGGCACCTTGCCGGTGGTGTAGGGCCCAACTAGGTCAGTATCTCTTTACCTACCGATCCCCCCCCCGCATGCATTTTGTGTGTATGTGTGTGCAGGTTTCCCGGGGAGCATGATTGATTAAGCTAGTGAGGTATCGGCGTCGGACAATTGAGCGTGAGAGAGAGAAGGGAGATCTATCTTTGTGAAGGTTCGTGCCTAAGCTTGGCACGAGATAAATGGGCCCAAACCAGTGTGCATGAATGTGTTAGAATTGTGGTCATCCATGAGTGCTTGTCGGTAAGTCATGGATATGTTCCCTGTGAGGGTAAAAACAACAATAACGACAAGAACACAACCTTTCTTATCCAAGAATGGCAATTAAAAGTACTATGAAGGAAAGTTTGCTCTTTGTATTCAATGAATGATCTTTATGGTGGGAGTGAGACCAAGGTGAGCCAGGAGGGGAGTGTGTGGGGGAGGTGGGGGGGTGACATTGTGTCTCATCCTTGTATTATGAATGAGTTATGTCTGTGTCGGTCAATAAGCAGTCCTTAGCTGGGGTTTATGACTCGGATGTTCCGTGAGGGCATCATCCGTGTTCCTCTTGATTGCTTTTAATTGAGTAGATATCGAACAGGTTTTGACAAAACACTTTAGAAGAGGAAAGAGACCAAAAAATGTGATGCCAGGTTTAAAAAAAAAAAAGATAGATTACATCACATGATTTACTCTGAGATTCATTACGATTTGTCACCATTCCAATGCAGTTTGTTTTCTTTCTTTTTTTAACTCTGACCACTAAGACAAACTGTTGTGCATCGCAGTGGATGTGCAGTACATTATTTTGTGTGGGCATGTACGTGTACTTGGTTAAATTACAATATTGACAGACTTTAACCATATATTTAAACAATTCGGCAAAATTGTTTGTACCCTTCTCATAAATGAAAAACACCCACACTGGCCACTGAACTACCTTGAATGTGACAAGACTGGAATTTGCCAAATTGCTGCTGCAAAAATTCAGCATGTAACTAACACTATGTTAACGGTGAAACACGGGAGACGCTCAGTTATGTTTTGGGGCTGCTTTGCTATGTCCAGCATCAGATGTCTTGAACTTGTACAGTATTGTCAGAAAGCTCGGTGGTGACAGGAAGAAGATCCGTACGTCAGACAAGTAGATGAGCAGGAATCACAGATGAAAATTGACCGGGAGAGGAAAATAGAGGAGGAGGACAAGACTAAACATCGGCCGAGAATCTAAAGCAATCGACAAAGCAAAGCTGTGAAACACCGATCATGGAGAATACTCAGCATTTTACTTCATGAAAAACAAAGAGTGTTACGGTCAACAATGTCTGTGTTCATCTACAGTATGTGTAGCAGCCGAGGTTGTTTTTTTTTTTTCATCCGAGCTTCGGAATGAGCAGTTTTGAACACGTTTTTGAAAGATGACAAAACATTCAAATGACAACATGGTCTATTTTCCATGTTTGCATGCGGTGGTTCAGGAAGAGGAGTAATTAGAAAACAATTTTTGGAAGAATGAACCGCGAGGCGAACAAGACCTCTCATTCAATTACCGGAATGAAGATTTTGATTAGCGACTTGTTTGTGCCGTAGATTACAAATTACTCGGTGAGAGCGATCCACGCCTCTTCCTCTGGCCACCGCCAGTGAGCTCAGATGATGTGAGAATGACACTTTCAAGCCGTTTCTCTCCTTCTTCCTTTCTTGGCGATTCCTCACTTTTCCTGTTATGTTGTTTTCCTGCCTTTCATATCTTCTTGCCCTGTGGTTTCGCCTACATTTCTTTCGAGGCCTTACATTTTCCCCACGATTTGCCTCCATCTGTGCCTCATTCGCTTCCTTCTGCTGCACCTCGTGTCTGTTCACAGGTGCAAAATGTCTAGCAGATGCTTTGAATGGCTCAGGGACTTGCCAGCATGAATACAATGGCAGTAGTTTATTGCCATGGAAGCTGGCCATTGATACCAAAACCAGCGTCCTGTTATCTGGTACTGGTCCAGCAGGCATGAGGGCAAATATAATGACACTGTCACCAGTGGAAACAGTCACGTGAGTGCTACTACTCCCCTGAGCTTCTTTCAAGAATACTTCTAGAAAGACAAATTGAAGCCACGTTAACGGAAATGGTTTGAAAATAAATGTGTTACGATTGCTTTTGGAGCTCCATTCTCTTGACAGAGAAATCCATTTCTGTGCAGCATCGCTGCTGAATGCTTATTCACCATGTTTACTTTAAACTCAAAGGCCCACATTCTTAAAAGTTTCACAAGCGCCTACAGAACATACTCATCATGCAGTTGGGCTAGTCAATGCCGGGAACAAACGACCAGGAAAAATAAAGTGACATCACCTGTACAAAAAAAAGTCATAAAAAGGAACTACAAGACCTGGAATGAGGTTTTAATAAATATTTGGATCACCTGATTCATCTGTTGAATCACATCTGAAATAGAAAATGTGTGTCTCTTTTCCTACCATCTTTGCGATAAAGGTTGATCTCCACTTTCCTCTCTTCTGAACCCAGCAGGGCCTGCGCCATCTGAGCGATGGCCAGACGTTTGGTGTCGGGTCCATAGAGGAAGTTGCAGGTGCACGGCTTCTGCATGATCTCAGCTCGCGAGTAACCGCACATGAGACAGAAGCCATCGTTGCAGAAGATAATGGCGCAGTTCTCCACTCTTGCATTGGCAATGACGAACTTTCGACCTGGAGAGAAAAAAGGCAGCGATAGTTGGAGTTGAAATGACACAAAATTGGAATCAACTTTTATCAAGCATCAATAAAAGATAGCATGATGGTTAGCATATCAGGCTGAATTAGTTAAATTAAAAAAAAAAAAATCTGAATGGATTGGATGGAATGATGTGCTTAATTTTTGAGGTTCCCCCTTATTTTCTGGACACGTGTGTGTGTTCACGATGGTTCGGGAGATACTTCCGATGAGTTTGTGCTGCTCTCCCTCCTCGAGACAAACTCCACCATAAAGCTCCCGAATGAGATGCATTTCCTCAACACTACGTTAATAAATGGTGATAGTCCAAAAAAAGGGGAGGTATCCAGCGACATTTAAGATTCAAAGTTGTCCTTTTTTGCAGGACAGACCGTAATTTTCTCCACACACTTTTGGTCCCACTAACAAGGTCTTATTTCAAGTGAAACATACCTAATAAAATGACGACTAATTATTGAAGGCAAGAAGAAAAAAAAAAAAAAGATTTGTCAGCAGACGAATGCAACTGGCAAAATTCATTTGGGATCATAACCAACTATAATTCAGCGAGAGGATGATGATGCGAATATGAAGCTGGCAGGTCACTAAAAGCACACCAAAAACCATTTAGTTTCTTTTACATTCCATTTTAGGTGATCTTCACAAAGGCAAACTCTTGTAAATTGACTTCAAGGACTTCAGGTTCTTACTTGGTATGCGAGAGACTTCAGACCTTGGCAACATTGAGCCGATTGTGACTCATGCCAAAATACATTGCAGAATATTTTCATTGATTAATAAAATAAAAACAAAACAATGGAAGGTTGAGAAATTTTTTTTCTTCCCCTCAAACAATTCATACATTTCAAATAAACTAAAACGAATACTAAAACCAACGAAAACAAAATTAAAAGCATTAAAAAAAATAATAAAATAAAAAACAACTTAAAAAAAAAAAAAACAAATAACGAGAAGGAGAGACATGTCTAAAACATTCAGGATAGCGGCACTTGAGAACCAGAGTTTGAGAGCCCTAATTTAGAGCGTGGCTCACCAACCTTTTTGAAAGGGAGAGCCACTGCTCATGCTAAGAGCTACCGGTTTCATACACATTTCTGGAATGTAAAACAGAAATTGCTGATAAAACCTTCCGCACAGCGCTAAAATAATATTCCACTTTGATTTACACGTTTCTGTAAACATGAAACACCTCTTTGGCCATTTTCACAAACTTTGCGTCTATAATTACCATAAGCCCGCCTTCCTCTTCCTTTTATGCCCGTGAACACGGTTTCTCAACGCTGCACAATGTGGATCCAACAGGCCGTTCTCTCTCACAGGAGACGTACGTGATGGAAAGCCTGTTCACGTATTCATGGAAACAGTGAAGATCCGTTGTGTGGTTGCGCTTGATAGCTCGCCTGCATGAATTAGCGGGCAGCGGTGGGCCTCAGAGGCTCGTAAAACTTGATAGGTTTGTCTTGCTGCAATGAACACTTGGTAATCCAACGGCAGAAATGCCAGCGTGCGGATGTGCGAGCACAGAGCACATTTCACTTTTCCGCCTTTTGAGTATGTGCTCTTTAGTCATTGATAATGGCCGGCGGAAGGAAGATGGGTTTGTTTCATGCTGTTTAGCTCATTTCGAGAGCTTCATTTGTTTACACAGTATGTGTGAGATGAAAAAAATGCACATGAGGAGATTGGCTAAATCAGTGGAAGACATGTTTCATGACAGTTTCAAACAGCAGGAATCAAGTAAGGGGTGCCAAATGTTAGTCGTGTCCCGATTTGTGCTTCTGTTCATCTTTTGGCTTTGTATTTGACTCTGGAGCAGATCATTTGTCTTTTATTCGGGAGTGTGATTTGGTCTTGGATTGGATTTTGCGTTGCTGTGTCTTGTGTGTGTGTCTTTGTTTCCAAGTGGGCTGCGTCTCAGGTTACTTATTTGCAACCCTCCGAGCTCCTCCATGCTTTGACTATGACCTGTGAGTCCTCATGGAGTCATATTATCGGGGATCTTAATCGTCCTCAATGCGCACAGTTTCTCTGTTTTAGTTAGGCAGTACTTAGTTGAAATGTAAATCTTAAGGATGCGTACTGAGACCAAATGTTGACAATCGGTGGTGTCAGCGGCGATACTGTACGTCCGAACGCATCAGTAATAAACACCAATAGCACTTCTCTAGCCTGACTGATACTTTCTGGGTAAAAGCCATGTCAGCTTTGTGAAGATATTGAAATTGTAGATCAAGATTTGGACAATGTTTTTGGGTTTTTTTTTTCCAGTTAAAGAAGAAGAGTTTCATATTCTGATTTGCGGTACTCTTTCTCAAAAGTCAGCAGGGAAAAGCTCAAGATCACCCGCGACTCGAATGACGACAAGCAAACAAATGGCTGGATGGATTTTGAATACAAAGCGCATTGTTGACAATCGATTTACATGTATGGCAATAGAAGCGACGTTAGGGATTACTAAATGTTAATTAAATGCACGGCTATGATTCCAAACATGCATTTGCTCATAATGCTACGAATATGACAGCGTGGTGTTTAACAAGATCGACGCACAAAAATCTGTATTTGTTCTCGAGCCATCTTTCCTATTCGTGACGTCAGCGGCAGTTCCACTGGCATCTTTTTTTTCTGCAATTTCTCTCTAATGAGCTTTTGAAGCCCAAAGTGGGCTGCTCGAAAGGCTGATGAAAGACCGAGTGAGGCTCGGGAGGAAAACACTTTTTATTCACACACGCGGACACACATGTACAAATGTATCCGCGTGTCAATACGCACAAAGCAAGTTCGACACGCGCACGTGTTCCAAAGGCGACTCGCCAACGCAGACTGAATAATTCACTAAGAGCCAGACTTTGAGGGCTCCTCTGCAGTCTGCCAGTGAGCGCATGTGCAAGCCGTGAGTCTGTGCGTGTGGGTGGGGGAGTGTGTGTATCCGTGAGTGTTGTTGTGTTTGCTTGGAATCTCCCCGAGTAGGCCGCGTGGGCGGATGAGGAGGGAAGCCCATGTGTTCCAGGCACAAGTCCACGCAGCGGCTCCGAGCCTGCTCGGCGCACAGATGGCAGGATAAAGGGAGCGGGAGAAAGACAAAGGATAGCGAGACACCGAGCGGAGAAAAAAAAAAAAAGAATATGAAGATGATTATTATGCAAGAGGCACAAAGAAAATTAGCACGCTTGTGTGTCACTGTTGCAGACGAAACCCGCAACCGGATGAGGAATTGTATGAGAGCTCCCTCTTCAAACGGGGCTATTGCCATGGAAACTGAAGATTGGACATTGCTAAATTTCCAACCGTAATGGGCTGTGGGAATATTGTATTCAGTAGTGGTGGCAACCGGTTTTTAGTACAGCAATAAGAAGTGAAATACTGCCCACCATTGCACACCCAAAAATCAGGCTGCTATTAATGACTATGTGCAATAAAAAAAAATTAACTCGTCTGCTTTCCGGTTTTTCACTTTAGCAAGTAAACACTTTTTGTTGCAAACCATGGAACCATCATACCGTGACCTAAAACTGCTAAAGGCTCAGCCACTGAACGGATCTCAAAGCCTTTGCGTCTTACTTGCATTGCCCCGAGTACTTGGAGGACTTCCTTTCCTTCCAAGTGGTTTTCCCAGGGAACTGTCAGGTCAAGCAGAAAAGCTTTCTTGCTGAACTGAGACACAAGGACAATGTCCGCAACTTAAACTGTCATTACAGGTCCACCAACAACAACTCCTCAAAATCCTAGCAGGGGTCAAATTTTGACCTACTAAGTCCACCTCTTCTGGATACCGAAACATTTGCAAGATGCATCCATCCAATAGCTAGCTCAAAATGATTTTAAAAAAATTATAAAATTAAATACTGTACATACACATGAAGGGTGAAGAACATGTGCAGTCAAAAGGTGACTTTGCTCAAATGCCGATTTCTTCCATGCAACACGGAGGCCCAATCCTCCTACTGTCATTAACAGCGCTAATCCCATAATCACAGCAATCCTTAATGGGCTTGTTCGCTCAAAAGTGTGTACAGCATCTCCCTCTGTCTTAATGAGGTTTTCCAGATTTATGCAAATGAGCGCTAATCCGAAAGACTCTGCGGTCGTCGGACTCTTTCATTCAGTGAACTGACCTTTTCCGTGCCCCTTTCAAGGTTGTCGTGAGCAGCCCCCCCCCCCACCCTCGAGGAGCATGAAAAGGAATGCTGATTAGGGGAGGGATACAAACAGGCAAGAGATGAATGAAGAGATTGATGAATGACACGAGGGACAAGCCAGCAGAAGCCGTGATAAACAAGTCAAAGCGAAATGATGAGAGGGCAGGACAGGAAATGATGCCACTCAAGTCATCCCGGACAAATAAGCCCATTCTGAAACATTTAATGAGGTCGGGCAAAAGTCTGAGTGGACCCTGATATTTTGCAGGTGACATTTTGATCCGCGGTGTCGGCAGGGAGCGGGTGGAAAAGAACTTGGAGAGGTGGAGGTTTGCAAATTAAAGAATAGAGGCGGAGAAGGTGCAGGAGTTCAAGTACTTGGGAGAAAGTGGTCAGAGCGATGGGGAGTGCCAAAGAGATTCGAGGGAGAGAGCAATGTGTCAAGCCGTATGTTTTAGAGACGGTAGCAATGACCAGAAAACAGGAGACGTTCTCTTATGTGTTACAATCCTAATAGATATGTTAGAAAAAAGCAAGTGTGCTATGGTTCATCGTTGTAACTGCAGGATAACGCAGCAGTCCATTAAGTTTCATATTTTGCATTCTGGAAAAATGGCTTCTCCCTTTTTCTTCGTGGCAATTGACGTGTCCATGCTCGGTTATTATTTTATCTGAGCAGGTAAGGAAAACCTGGCACGGATGCTTGTGTTTGATGTTTTATGATTTGGACACATTCTCATAATAGGCACACGATTTTATAAGCCGAGAGTCGGAAGAGAGACGCATCACTCGGCAATGTATTTAAAGATCTGAGGAAAACGATCAGAGGGATGACT